AACAACAACAGAGCATGATACCGCAGTGCCAGCACCTAATGGAGAGGTTGCGGAAAAGGCACATAACGCGACGAATACGACACCTACGACAAAGATACCGCCACTACCATTCTCGGCAGTACTACAGCCACAAGCATCACCAGCAGTGACTGTTCCAGAAACAGGGAAAGGCTCAGCGGCACGAAATCTCTCCCAGTTGTCAAGAGAACAAAATAAAGAAAACACAGCGTCACAAACCAAAGCGCTGTCCGAAGCAATGAAACGACATTCAGGGGATGCTGAGGCAGAGCAACAAGAACAAGAGAGCGACACATCAAATCTGGTGGAGATTAACGATGACGGCAAACATGCGGTAACGACATCATCATCCATCTCTATAAATGACAATGACGATTCTCAGGGTACGGGGGCTGAGAATAATGACAATGATCCACGGCCCAACCCCACAGAAACAAGCGACCACAAAGTTGATAATACCAACCCTGCTTCTGCACCCACTGAGACCGCACCAAAAACAGTGAATACGGCCACCGCCGAAAGAAATGAAACACTGAAGTCCGAAGGCAGTGACGGCAGCACCGCGGTCCCCCACACCACCTCCCCTCTTTTGCTTCTTCTTGTTGTTGCGTGTGCGGCTGCTGCTGCGGTGGTGGCTGCGTGAGAGTGAGGGAGAGAGAGCCGTGCACCGCCCGCACACACACTCGTCCTTCTCTCTCTGTGTGTGTCCCCTTGCATGGACTCTCGCCCTCACCTCACCCCACGAGGCACCCACAATAATGTGCCCATTGTATATATGCATGCACACCCATGCAGGCCCGTTGGTGCTCTCTTTTGCACGACACGCACCGCTGCCGTCCTGCCTGGCTGCATGGGCGGAGCACCGTAACTGTTTCTGTTTTGTTTTTATTGCATTGAGTGGGCGACCTCTCTCTCTCTCCCTCTGTGTGTGTGTTTTGCTTTACGGGAGTAATGAGAGTGTGTGTCCGCTGGTCGTCCCACGCCTCGGCTTTTTGTTTTGTTTTTTTATTGTAATTTTTTTAATGTTTTTCCTGTTTCCTTCCTTTCTGGTTAAAAATTTTTTTTTCAAAATTCTTTCTTCTTTTTTTGTTTTTCTTTTTTTCCAACGTCCCCACATCCCTCTTCTTTTTGCTTTTGGGGCAATCACTATGGACGTGTTTTCTTTTCTACTCTTCCCTCTTCTAATTGTTTGTTGATGCACTCTTCCTGTGAGGGGTGCCGTGTGTTTCCCGCCCAACTGCTCCACTCGCACACCCACCGACACGCTCACGACGACGGCCCTGTGCGCCTCGCCTGCTGCACGCATGAGGAGGGGCCGCGACGAACGGCGCGCTGAGGGAGCCGTGACGTGTGGGCGTGCGACGAGGGCCTGTGGGGCGGAGCACACATTTCTTCCCTCCTGTTTTGTTTTCTTTGCGGTCAGGGCTGGCAGACACCCGCAGCGCCACACACACAGCCACACCCTGCCGCCGTGTTTTTCTTTAAGGATTTGTTTTGTTTTTTTGCTTTTGTATTTGTTGCCATCGTGTGTGGTTGTTGATGTCGGGACCGTACCGCATTTGTCGCTGCTCTCCAGTTGTGCCTGTTGCTCTGTTGATGTGCCTCCCTGTGCTCCTCTTCTCTTCTGCTCCTCCAGCACACCCACACACACTTAGTTGCACAGTGCTCTGCAGGAATGTCTTGGTGACGGCGGGACGTTGGCCTGCATCCCGTGCTGGCATAGTATGGTCGCTGCGTGTCTACCGTTGGCGGTGGGAATCACGGTGTCATTGGATGGATGCGTGTGGTACGCTTTTGAATTGTGCTGGAGGCCGGCTGACGTGGCTGCACGATGTCCGCCATGTGTGGAGGTGTTGCCTGCTCTTGGGGTCATTCTCCACTCTCCTGTGTGTTTGCTCTGCCGGGAACGTGCGTTGCTCGGTGTGTGCTGACGCGTGACGGACGGTGCCACGATGGCCTTCTCTGGAGATGACAGTTGCTGTACTCTCGGCACACATCCACAAGACTCTTTATTGTCTCTCTGTGGGAGTGATTGCGGCAGGGCATTGCTGCGGGCGTGACGGGGACCACGACGGCGTCACCCCTCGAGAAGGTCCCATGCACTGTCGGTTGTGGAGCGGCGAGGCGGTTTGCCTGCAGCCCGACTGACAACCGCACAGTCGTTTCATTGCGGTCACTCCGCCAGCATCACCCGCTGCGGTGGTGTCCACAAGAGCCGCACCTCAGAACTTAAGGCCCTTCGCCCTTCAGGATTGCCCTTGCTGCTTGACTGGCGCAGCACCGGCGCGAAATGGCTCTTCTGCAGGAGAGCAGGCACCAGAGTGCCAGCGACGAGGCTCATTGGCTGCATTGACTTCCACCAGGCCTGCAGTGGGCGTGCCGGCGGCGTGGCCTTCTTGGTGCGCCACACCTTTCCGTGCGAGCGCCTGTCGCTGCTGGAACCAACTGCCTGGAGACCACCGCCCTCCGCGTGTGCCCACCGGCCAGCCCCAGCATGTACGCGGTGAACCTCTGCAGCCTTTCTAAAGTAATTGCCCACGTTTCACACTCTGCGAGCACCATTCGTCGCCTTGGTCCTGCAGCACCTGTTGCGGACGACCTGAATTCACACCATGAGCTGTGAGACGGTCGCTCACGATCCACGACGGCAGGAGAGGGCCTCGCCACCACCCCAAGCGGCATGGAGTGTGAGCTGTCCGACGACACGGCACAGGCGACTCGGATTAGCGGCCGCAGCGTCTCGTTTCCCAATGTGAATGCGCAACACGTACTGCGTTTCTTCCACTGGACGTCCACCCGTTTACATGGACTCGGACCACCATCTGCCATCCCACACTGCAGGAACGGAGGACGGCCTCTCGCGACAGGCAGGCATGCTGCCACGACGGAAACATGTCACCCTTGTCCTGCGTGATGCCGACTGTGATGCTTCCACCTCGGCGTGTGGAACACCTCTGGCCTCTGTAACCACATGGTTGGAAATGCACTGAGGCACCGCGCGGCAGCCGCGACACACCACAGGAATCACGACGGACGAAATGGAGCAGGCCGAGTCTGTTGCGGCGACAGCATGCAACGAGCGTACTTTCTTACCGGGAGGCAGCCTGCCCCGAGCTGAAGCTTTCCTCAAACGGGAGGACCGCAATCATGCCCTTCGCCGTGTTTTCACTGTGCCGCCAGAGGCCCGTGCGAAGCAGCTTGGTGCCCTCTCGAGCCCAAGCCTGTGATACCCCGAGGCATGGCGGAGCCACGTCCCCGCCCTCTGGGATCGGCTGTGCTGCGGCACTCTCGGGACCGCGTCCGTGCTCTGCCTCCGCCGTAACCTCTTCCCGACGTGAGCACCGCCACTCCTTGCCGAGCAGCAAGCGGCTGATTGACGTCCTCCTGCCCACTCCTCGGCAGACCGGCACGCGCCCTGCAGATCACAAGCAACCCTTCATGTCGGTGGTGCCGCTCCTCTCCTCACACTGAAGAGGCAGGACCACCCCGACCTCCTCCGGAACCTCCACCTGGCGTGTCCACGGCACCTCCTCGTAGAACGACGAGCAGCAGATCAACGTCGCCCTGCCCAAGCTGCAGCAGCGTCTTCTCGTCCGTCCACAATATGGAGGCACACGGCCGGCGCACTAACTCTGAAACTCCAATCGTTGCAGAAGGCCTCACATGTGGATTCTGCGACAGCTCCACGGTCTCCCCACAAGTGCCTCACGCGCAGTTCATTACCGAAAATGTCAAGCGTATCAACGAGCAAAAAACGGACAACGCACCTCTGCAAGCTCCAATGACAGCCGTAGCCCTTCAGCCACTCCTCTGCTGCAACCCCACCAGCCGCTGAGCCCCCGACAATCCACGGGAGGCCCCGCCGCACACGCTGTGGGAATGCCCCCGTCCTCGACAACTGAGCATCCGACTGTTTGGGAGCACACCCTCTCGCGCGACAGCACCGTTCAAGACGGAAAAACTGGCCACATCGCTACGGACAGCCCGCAGGCCATAAC